AGGGTGTGACGTCACTGCTCGCCGCGAGCTCAGTTCCGGACCGGGAGGTCCCGGCGCGACCGGCTGCGGGGGGTTGGGGGCCGGTCCCTCCGGGGGGGAGAACCGGGGGGCCCCGGGGGGCTCTCACTCACACAGCGCGGCCAGCAGCGCCCGGCGCGGCCACATCCTCCCCGCCGGCCGGCAACGGCCCCCGGCCCGCCTGGTAACGGCCCGTCCTCCCCGGCCCACCCGGTAACGGCCCCGCCACCCCCGCACGGCGAGCAGACACGCGGCTGCTCCCAACGCCTTTATTAGCACTCGCAGCGCGCCCCCGGCCACGGCCCCATCTCCATCTCCATCATCTCCGGCTCCCGGTGCGGGGCCGGGGTCGGGTCCAGCCCGGGCTCCGGCTCCGGCTCCAGGGGGTCGCTGCTCTCCTCCTCGTCGGAGCTGTGCGGGGACAGAGCGGTGCCTCAGCCCCGGGCTGGCTCCGGAGCGCCTCGGTCCCCCGGGGATCACCTCTGTCCCCCCCTCTCGGGGATCGCCTCTGTCCCCCCCCGCCAGGGATCATCCCATGCCACCCCCAGGCATTGCCTCAGCCCCGGGAATCACGACCCTCCCGGTGGAACACCGTGACCCCATCCCATATCCCCCGTACCCCCCAGGGGCCCCACTGACCTGTCCGTGCTGTGGGCCTGCTGCCCGCAGTGCCAGCCCCGATGCCACAGGACGAGGCAGACGGCCCCGGCGAGGAGGAGCAGGGGGAGGCAGGAGCCCAGCACCGTCCAGACCTTCGTCGCCTTCTTCCTCCCTCGCGGCGGGAGGCCTGGGAGCAGACATGGCACTGCCACCCTCCCGCCGGCCCCAGGGACCCCAGCCCGGCGTCCGTCCCCACCGCCGCTGCGGGCACTCACCATAGTCCTTCACCTCGATGCTGCTGTCAGTGCTCCCCCCCATGTGGGACCCCTTCTTCAGGCAGTTGGGGGGCTGCCAGCCGGGCTGGCAGTGGCAGCGGCCCTTGTTGTTGCACACCTGAAAAACCCAGGGGCGGGTGGGAGAAGTTTGCAATGAATTCAGGCCGTGGACGCTCATGCCCAGACCAGCACCAGTCTCGCTGCCACTGGTGGGGCTGGGACAAGGCCACGCACGCTCCTGGGCGCTCTGGCAGCTGAGGAATCCTATCCAACAAGGACCACACCGTGAAGTGTGGGCTCCAGTAGCCTGGAGACATTGAGCAGGCACAAAACATCCCCCTCCTGCAACACCCGCCTGATCTCTGTGCGATGAGCAGCAAACAGGAGCTCCCTGCCCTGGCCATCAGCAGAGCCCGGCGGGGTCTGGGGGGCCCAGCAGCCCCCCCGCAGGGCAGTGCAGCCCCCCCGCAGGGCAGTGCAGCCCCCCCACTCCCTCCAGCCACAGGCTGTACCTACACGATCTCCGCTGCCCTCAATTCCACATCCCTGCCATTTTCCTTTCATTTTTTTCCCCCTCCATAAACCAGACCAACCATCAAGTTCTCCATTTCGGTGAATAAAGCCTCTTATTTTGATACTGGCTTTAGGATCAATAGTTTCACTCTATTGGCTGGCAAGGTCAGGATTTTGCACAAAATGAGCCTAAAACGGGTCTCCAGCCAGTTCCCACAGCCAGTCTGCAGGACGGAGGCACCTGCCCCGTGCCGGGGGGTCACTTACGCCGTGGCCGTGGCACTGCACGTTGCTGTCACATCTGTACCCCAGGGCCGAGCGCGGGTGACAAGTGCCATTTATACACACCTGGGAGAAAACACGGCAGTTCCAGCTCAGCGCTGCCTCGCCATCGCAGCACCCAGCCCAGCCCTCTGAGGTCCCAAAACACTGGAATTATGTACTTCTGAAACACCAACAGTGCTTTTAAAGAGCTACAGTGGGGTTACGTCTGACCTCACACCAGGCCAAACCTGGAGTGTAACGTCAGCACGGCTTAACTGTTTGTGAACATCAACCACGCTCATGCTGCAAAGGAGCAAATATTTCTTTTTATCATTTACAATTGATACCTGATATTTTAGATGATTATAAAGTGTTTTCTTACCTTTCCAGAACCGCACTTGGTACCTGGTGGAACCAGAAGAGGATCCAGCCTTTCCAGAGCGTTGAAATAATCCATAGAGACACACAAATGCTTGTGCACTTGGACGTAGAGGACGGCGGCGGCGGTGGATGCCAAGGGAGTGCTGTGCGGGTACGTGCAGATCAGCTTCCCACACCTGAGATTCCTGTAAAACCAACGTCCATGGGATGGGTATCACACACACACACACACACACACACACACACACACGTATGTGCTGCCTGATGAACCACTAGAAACATTTAACAGCGCGGCACAAATCTGAGCGCTGCGAGGTAAGGGAAAAGAGGCAGGATTTGGGAAATCCAAGAGACCGTCACTAATGCAGGGACAGAGCCCCCCCACAGGAGAGCACACACAAAGCTCTACTGCTCCACTCTGTCAGCTGGAGTCTTGGTACTTCCCCTCTCCATAAAGTCCCAATAAATACAGGTTTTTAGTGGAGGAAGGGCCCTTTACTGGCGCGTACCTCCTGGCACAGGGTTTGTACCGTCCGATGTTCCTGACCCCGCAGTGTCCAAACCTGTCCTGCTGGCTATTGACTTCCTCGTAACAAGCCATAGGAGCGTTTTTTGAACCTACAAGTTTAGCAATAATATTTATTGTAATTTAAAGGAACACAAAGGGACATATTACGGTACCTAATAACCTCTTAATTTTTCACCCTGTTCACAGCAGAACAGAGATGCTCTTCACCAATTAGAGAAACCATAATTCCTGTCCCTGAAATGCCAAACCCCAGGCAGCCCTGAGCTCTAGAACATGGGATTAGCAATCAGGTCAGCTCTCTAAGTAACTTCACTCGCAGATAATAATTTGCTTTTTTTGTTGCTGTTTCCATTGCTATCATGAAGTCACTGGGAGAATGACGTGCTACTGAAGTGCATATTAACCAGATTCCAAACTGAGCTTGAAATGTTTCTTGAAGCCATGTCCTCCCCTCCTGGGGTGCCTTCCTTAACTCCCCACGTTCCCACTATCATGAAGTCACTGGGAGAATGACGTGCTACTGAAGTGCATATTAACCAGATTCCAAACTGAGCTTGAAATGTTTCTTGAAGCCATGTCCTCCCCTCCTGGGGTGCCTTCCTTAACTCCCCACGTTCCCAGTCCCCTCCCTCCTGTCCCCTGAGCGCAGGCAGGGGCAGAGGCCGGGACACACGGCTCAAGCCTTGCACAGAGCACAATCTCCTCACTCGGATCCCACACGTCCCAGCGCCCTCCCAAAAACCCTCCGGCTTCAACAGGGGCCTGAAACCAAACACAACCCCCATTTCCACTGATCAAACACAAACCCTCGTTTCCACTGAAACCAGGTGAAAGAGACACGATGAGATCGACCCGAGATCGGTGCGTTAAAGAGCCAAGACACAAACAGCATCGTTACTGCTGCAGCACCTCCTGCTCCCGGGCAGGACCAGTAGTACCAGTACCCACGGTCCCAGTACAACCAGAGCCGCCCGTTACCTCTGCCGTAGAGCGTCTGGCACTGCAGGTCGGGGGACTGGCAGTGTCCCCGGTAGCAGTAGCCGGTGCCGCGCTCGCAGCTGTGCCCGTCCTGCACGTAGAGGTCGGGGGGGCAGGAGGCGGAGGACCCGTTGCAGAACTCGGCCAGGTCACACTGCGCGTCGGCGGCGGGGCGGCACGGCGAGTTCTTCCTCTTGAACTGCCGGAGGAGGATAAAGGGTCCTGCTCGCCCTCCCTCCCTCCCTCCCGAGACACGTCCCCGGGCACTGGGCTCAGCACACGCCTGTGGTGCTGCCCAGGACAGGCCCCCCCAGGAACCTTCCCCCCGGGGGCTCTGGGCGCTGAGCCGGGAACCTCTCCACAGCAGAACCTGGCTCTCCATCCTCCAGCATGGGGACAGGCAGAACATTTGGGATGTTCTGAACACGGGAACATCTCTGTTCTCCAAAACCACATAACTGTCTCGTAATCAGTGTGGGGACAGGCAGAACATTTGGGATGTTCTGAACACGGGAACATCTCTGTTCTCCAAAACCACATAACTGTCTCGTAATAACCATAAAAATGTGCCTTACCTGACATTTCTTACAACATAATCCAGAGGAACATTTCGCTCCTGGCTTAAGCTGACATCTTTCAGAGCAACATTTATCCTTCAAGCATTCCTGGGGGGATATTAAAAAAACACATTATTCTGCTTTTTTGTTCCCCTTGAGCTTTTTACTGCCAGGGGTTGTCCCTTTCCTTCTTCTCCCCAAAATGCCACGCTTGGGCAGTGTCTCGCAGAAGGAAACGGGCAGCGCTGCCATCAGATGGATGCCAACGCAGAAAAAAATCTAAAACCCAGCGTAATTGCTGTGCTGGCCTCTGCTCCAGCCATGCCCTTGGGCTCCAGGCTCTGTTATTCCAAGCACAGGAACTCTACAGATGAGCATCTCTACCCGCGGTTCCTGCGGTGCCCACCTCGTCCACGCCGCAGTCGCACTGCTCGCCCCGCTCCACCACGCCGTTGCCGCAGACGGGCGCGCGCCGGTAGGACTGTCCGGTCAAGCGGGGCTGGTGGAACAGGCAGGTGCCTCCGCCGCGCCGCAGGAAGGTCTCAAAGTCCCTGACGCTGCAGCTGCTGAAGGCTTTTGCCCCACTGAGACCTCTACAATAAAGCCATTATCCATTGTTTGTGTTAAAACACATCCGCGCTCTCTCAAAATCTCTGTGCCATTCAAGGGCTCCTTCAGACGCTGGCACAGGGCACAATGGTCCCCTGGGTCTCTCTCAATTCACTTGTCAAACCTCATTTTGCTACTTATTATTAATAGGGACTGAGAAGCATTCAGAAATATCTTGCTTTTGGAGAGAAAAAGTCTTTTTTCAAATTAAGTACTGAACCACTAATTTAATTGTTCTTTTTTTCCTTCTTAAAGGAATAAAAGCAGATGTTTCTGAATTTGTTTAATTTTTTCAGCAGAATGACATTTGTTGAGGACACCTCTGATGAGAGGACACCTCTGATGAGAGGACACCCCATTACCCCACCACAGCCCCCTCAGGATGGGACGGGATCAGCCAACTCACAGTGCCTCCGGGCTCATGATGCAGACGTTCCTGGGGCAGTGGCATTTTTGGGGGTCGTCGTAGTTTATGCCCAGGCTGTGTGCCAGGAGCTGGGCCAGGAGGACGGAGAAGGACTCCAGTGTCACGGCGTCCTGGTACTGAAGGGAGGAGAGAGCGGGGCTGCTGCAGCCGTGGAGACCCCGGCAGAGACCCCAGCTCCAGCCACGGATGCTCCCCCCGTCCCCATCCCTGCTGCCCGTGGGGAACTCCAGCTTCATGGAGATGCTGTGTCCCCGTGGGTGACCCACACTGACCCCCCCGGGCTGTCGGGGCCCGGGTGACACCGTACCACGGCCACAGCGGCAGCAGCGTCCCTCTGACACGCCTCCCCCAGCGCCACGGCGCCCACGAACTCTGCTCGGTCCCTGTACCTGGAACAGACACCCCGACACCGGGGTAACGGGGGGATCCAGGGTCCAACAGCCCGAGTCCCCCTCGCTCCCCTGGGCTGTTTCTGTGCCCCCTGTGTGGCCGGGTGCCTGGCAGGGACCGGGGCTGCCACCGTCCCCTCCCCAGGGCAGCAGCTCCTCGGCCACGGGGCACGGGACGGGCAGCACCATCACAGACACGGCATCGCTGCCGAAAGGGATGTCTTGAAAGAAGTACTTTCAAAATACTAAGAAATTAGGAAATATGTAAGAAACATGTTCAACCTACGTTGGTTTAACTGATTTCTACCATGTAACCTCTAGCAAGCTGGGAAACGTTTATCTTACACTAATAGATAAGCTACGTCGTATGACTGCTGAGCCAGATGGAGCTGTTTCCACTGTAAAAATCGCTGTAGAAGGACGTCGGCCTCCTCTGCCGTCGATATTTTGTTCTCCTCCTTCCACAGCTCCAGGGAGGAGAGCACAATGGTGACATTCAGAGGATTAAACATCTGAAAGCGTAAGAGAGGAAACGCCTGCTCACATTCCTTTCCTTGTGAGCAGAACGACAGCTCTGCACACAATAAATCACGTGGGAAAAGGCAATTGCTGTTGTCAGTCACTGCGTATCATCTGTACAACAAACAGAATGAATGGACTCAACAAATAAAAAGATATACTGAGAGGCATGAGCAGAATAACTTCACAGGAAGGTTTTTGGGGAAGGTTTTCTGGCCGTGCCCAGCCCTCACAGCCAGAACATTGAGACTGGGAATTTTTTACATAAACTCCGCCAAAAGCTGGGAAACAGGGGCCATTACTAACATCGAACCTCCCATCATTGTGCTACAATATAAACCAGGCTTCAAAACTTACGTTGTTGACTAAATTGAAGACCTGGATTATCTTCTGCATTGCAGCACCCGTGTCTGAACCCATGTACTTGTACTGAAAAACAACCCGGGAGGAGGTGAGAGCAGAGCAGGTGTTTACCACCACGAAGCAGAGCCAGGGTGAAATGCTGAAACGATTCCCAACGCCCAACCCTGGAAACCTGAGCTACCAATTTTCATTCTTTCTTTGCTACAAAATCCACAGGACATGTTACTTTTTAAAAGGGGAAACACAGACATCTAAAAGCTTGGAAATGGCATCATTTCTATGCTGACGTAAGTTGGGCAAACACAAGGGGAAAGTGACAGGCAGGGACTTACCAAAGCCTTGTCCATAACTACGTACACTTTGAAGTACTTGGGAGATCGCGCTTTAGCTGAGAGGGGCTGAAAAAGAAAAAGGTCTCCAATGCTATTTATTTCTATAGTATATTTCTATACAGAACTGAGTTCTGTAGGTTTGTTACACGACTCCGGCGTCCATTCAAAAGCTTCAATGCTGCCTTCAAACCAGCATAAGGCAAGGAACCTTCCAACGCAGCCAGTCCTGACCTTGCCAGCAGCCGTTCTGCCTTGGTGACACCTCATTAGGCACTGGGCGAGTAACGACCCACGTGACACCCTGTCACTGGCATCCTAAACACCCTCCATCTCCATCCATCCCGACAGCACCAGCCAAAGCTCCCTGCGGGATTGGACCCTCCCCGTGTGATGGGGACACCGGCACCACCACAAGGACAGAGGCCACTCACTTGGTCTTTGTTCGCCGTCTCCTCCGCTGTCAGCCCGTCTGGCTCGCTCCCGGGGAGGCTGGTGGCCAGGAGGGATCCGGCCGGCTTCTCATCGCTCATTCGATACACAAAGTGCTCGAAGGCAGGGGAGTAATCCAGGGGCTCAATCCCGTAGCTGACGTTCTCAAACTGCAGGAAACCCCTGCCACAGCGACAGCGTGTCATTTGTCACCAGCCATGTGCCATCAGCCGCCATGGAGCGTGGCAGCTGGAGCATCCCTGGCCATAACGGGCATCGCCGGGGGGTGTCGGTTCCTACCGTAGCCCCGAGCAGGTGCTGAGGGTCACTGCCGAGCTGGGGAAGCCCTCGACGTACCCCCGGTAGTAGCAGCTGCCCTGTGTCACGACAGAGGACAAGGAGGGGGAGCAATTCCCCAGCCCTCACCCACGGGCCGAGCCGCACACACCGAGAGCAGCTCCGCGCCACGACGCTCCCGGCACAAACACCCCCAGAGCAACCCAGGGTTACCTTGAAAAGGCTGGAATCGGAGCGCAAAGGTCCCTTCTCGTTAGACACGTAAATCCTGAAATCATCAGACAGAAAGGCACTACAAGAGAAAGGTGTCAGGTGAAGCACTTAGAGCAGTGTCTCCTACCCCGTGTCCTGAGCTTGTTCCAGGCCCCGCAGCCCCCCCCCTTGGCACTGGGGGACCCAGAACCTGCTGGTGTCAGGGCTCGGGGGCACAAACACCCCTCACACCCACCCGGTGTGTGGCACCACACGCGTCCCCCGGGGGCTTTGGGACGTGCCCACAGGGTGTGTGTGAGGGAGGAGGGTGCAGGGGCCACAGGGGGGGACGGTCCCACAGCCCCCAGACGGGCCAAGGGCCAACTCACTGCTGCTGCAGGCGGACGGTGTACGGCCTCCCCTCGATCCGCAGGACGTAGGACACCTCCTTGTGCATGAGGAGAAGCAGAGGAAGGGGGAATTAGGAAGGAGGGCTGTGGAAGGGCACGTGTGGGGGCGCAGGAGCTTGGCCCCTCCTGGAGGCGCAGGCCCAGCCAGGGCCGAGCTGGCAGCACCGGTGCAGGGCCTCCATTACAGCTGCCAGCACATCTGTGTGTCCCCAACCCCCCCCAGGCAGAAACCCCAATCCCC